CGCAGAGAGATGGAACTTCAGAAGGAGGAGACACGAAGAGAGGAGGAAAAGTCGCGTTTTGATGCACTATTGGCAACCCTGGCGCTAACCCACCCTCCCTCACTCGCAGGTTTCGCGCACCAAGGCGCCAATACCCTCCCTCCTCCACCACACCAGCGTCCTCCAGGCATCTGTTCAACCCCCACCCGCCCTCTCACCATACGTCACGTTTCAGCTTTTTCGTGAGTGGAGGCGGCGGTGGACACATTACTCCACGATGGTGGACCTTGACAGCATGCCTCCAAACAAACAGCTCATCCAACTGAGGATGTGTTTGTCACTGGAGACCCAGAGAGTTTTGGAGCACACGTTGCAAGTGCCTCCCGATTATACCTCTTCAGTGACGGATGTGCTCGACCTTTTGCAGGAGCACGTTAAGGGTCGGAATAACGAGGCTTTGCGTCGCCACGCCTTCACCAGCTGCAAGCAGGCGGAGGATGAATCCCTTGACGACTTTTTTGTACGTTTGAAGAGTTTGTCGGAGGAGATCGACGTCTGCAAGGCGCACAGCCAGGAATGTGAGGAAGCCTGGATCAAGCACGGGATCTTGACAGGTGTTAGGCAAGAAGAGTTGGTGCAGCGACTCATCCCCATGGACGCTTCCTCCACACTCCAGTTGGTAGTGACTGAATGTCGGTCATACGAGGCCACCAAGTCCGCCACCTCTGCCTTACGGGCCCCACCTGCTGTGAGAGCTATCTCACAATACAAGAAGGGTAAGAAGGCGGCCAACAACGTGAAGGCTGCCACACGTTCTTCCACGCCCCCACCTAGTGCTTCCTGTAGCAGCTGTGGAAAGCAGCATGGCCCCAAGACATGCCCGGCCGCCGACGCACTGTGTCGTGCATGTGACCGTAAGGGCCACTGGTCTAACACAGACAGGCGCCCTGCACGAGGCCACAAGTGTCAGGCCTGCGGTTGCTATGGACACTACGACAAGTGCTGCCGCCAACCCAAGCCCAAAAGCCCGAGACGAGGAGGAAAGCAGCGCACTTCCCTCGGGGTGGTTCGCACGCAGCCCCAAGCAGCAGCTGAGTCACATCAGGAGGGTGGAATCGACCACACGACCCAGGGCTTCCCCTTCCCCTACCATCCGCGTCGCCGTCACACACGGTGATGTGTCAGGGTCATATCGAGGTGATACCGGACACCGGCGCTGATACTACGGTGATAGGCCTGAAGCACCTCCAGAAACTGGGCCTCACCAAACGTGGCCTGGGACCACCGCCGCAGCTGCAGTACCACAATGCGGACGGTTCCCAGATGCCGGACGCTGTGGGCTCCTTTCAAGCGGAGATCACGTAAGGCGGCAGGTCGTGTCATGGATGGATCGACGTGCAGCCTACTCTCACTACACCCTTGTTGTCGTGGGAGCACTGCAAGGAGCTAGGCGTGGTGCCCAGAGACTTTCCTGAGCAGATCCCAGCCGCTCGGTACACCGCCAGCAGGGTGCGTGAGTCAACGAGCGACGCGCCTGGCACTGCCGCACAGAGCTGCCCAGAACCCGCATCCACTCCTATCCACACAGGACGCTCCCCTGCCCAGATCCTGTATGGTCACCCTCTCCGCTCTTGCGTTCCTGCACACACCAAGGCCTTTGCGAAGGACTGACAGACCAGAGCCGAGAGCTGCGACCGCCGCGCCGCTACATGTGCCCAGGACGCCAAGGGTCAGTATGACGACCATGCCAGCCCTCTTCAGCCAGTGGAGATTGGTGCCCTTGTCCGCGTCCAGGACCCGACGACGACACGTTGGGACAAGGTGGGCATAGTGATGGGCGTCGGCCGGTCGCGGGACTATAAGGTTAGGATGCCGAGCGGCCGCGTCTGGTGGAGGAACCGCCGCTTCCTCCGGCCAGTCCCACCCCCTGCTGCTGGCCCCCTGACCGAGGACGAGTCCCCTACACCTCACGAGGATCCGTCCCACAGTGCACCTCGACGCTCGGAGCGACTTAGGACTAAGAAGTCCGCTCAATGCAAAGACTATGAGCATGAGGGGGGGAGGGAGATGTAGGTTATGTATCTAAGCTACTGTGCCGAGTAGCAACCTTGTATATAAGCTCTTGTGCCGAGTAGCATCTATGTATATAATTATGTGGCAACACTGCACGTGTTATGTGGCAACATTGCCCCGAGACTGCCATATGGCAAGGCAGTCTCAGTCTGACTCTGTGGGCCGTGCATGGCACATGCTAGTCACCACTTGTATTTCTCCTATCCGTTAATAAATGGACTTCAGTGTTACCCGGTGTTTCCCTACCCATCACTGCCTTCTTCAGGGAACACTTGGAACCTTCAAATGTCTCTTACAGTACACAGAAAACGGGGGTTAATGTCTCTTACAGTACACAGGAAACGGTGGTTATTGTCTCTTACAGTACACAGAAAACGGGGGTTAATGTCTCTTACAGTACACGGAAAACGGGGGTTAATGTCTCTTACAGTACACAGAAAATGGGGGTTAATATCTCTTACAGTACACAGAAAATGGGGGTTAATGTCTCTTACAGTACACAGAAAGCGGGGGTTAATATCTCTTACAGTGCACAGAAAACGGGGGTTAATGTCTCTTACAGTACACAGAAAACGGAGGTTAATGTCTCTTACAGTACACAGAAAATGGGGGTTAATGTCTCTTACAGTACACAGAAAACGGGGGTTAATGTCTCTTACAGTACACAGAAAATGGGGGTTAATGTCTCTCTGATACACAGAGAACAGGGGTTAATGTCTCTTACAGTACACAGGGTTAATGTCTCTCACAGTACACAGAAACGAGGGTTAATGTCTCTTACAGTACACAGAAAACGGGGTTAATGTATCTTACAGTACACAAGCAGGGGTTAATGTCTCTTACAGTACACAGAAAACTGAGGGTTAATGTCTCTTACAATACACAGAAAACGGGGGTTAATGTCTCTCTGAGTACACAGAAAACAGAGTTAATGTCTCTTTGGTACACAGAAACAGGTTAATGTCTCTTACAGTACACAGAAAACGTGGGGTTAATGTCTCTTACAGTACACAGAAAACGGGGGTTAATGTCTCTTACAGTACACAGAAAACGGGGGTTAATGTCTCTTACAGTACACAGAAAACGGGGGTTAATGTCTCTCACAGTACACAGAAAACGGGGGTTAATGTCTCTTATAGTACACAGAAAACAGAGGTTGCTTTCTCTTGCGATACACAGGAAGCGGGTTCCTTTTCATATATGACTTACCAAGGAACGATAGATAAAAATGTAAGCTGTTATCTACAATTTAATGCTTTTATTTACAACTTGAAGCTTTTGTGTACAGTCTAAGGCTTGTATGTCCACTATTGTTTACATCTTGAGACTTTTGTTTTCGAACCGAGGATTTTGTTTACAACCTAAGGTGTCTACGCGCCACTTTTATTTTCATTAGACAGTGAAACAATAGACTTGAGCTGAGCACCGCCAGACGAAGGTTTTTTTTTTTTGTAGTTCCATTGGAAATAACATCATCAATTACATGTCCAGCACAGAGTAGGACATGTGGGGGAGAAGGGGGAAGAGAGGGGGGAATGGCAAGGGAGAGGGTGTGGGAGAGGGGAGGAGGGGAGAAAGTGGAGTGTGTGGCAAGCGGGAGGGGAGATAAGGGGAGAGCATGGAGATGACAAGGGGAAGATCGATGGAGAGTGGGGGAGAAACAGGGTAGAGAGGGAAGAATGGATGAGAGTGGAGGGGAAAGAGAAGGATGAGTGAGAGTGGAAAATGGGTGAGAGGTAAGGGAGAGGGGAAGAGAGTGAGTGAGAATGGAGGGGAGAGAGGAGGAATATTGGAGGGTGGAGCAAGTAAGAGGAGAGAATGGGGGAATGAGAAGGGGAAAGCAGGAAAGAAGAGAAAATGGATGAGAGGAGAGGGAGGGTGAATGTAGGGAGGACAATGTAGGAGAGGGAAAGAGGAGGATAAATGAGAGAGAAAAAGAGAGAGATAGAGAGAGAGTATCAAAATGAGATGAAAGAATGAAAGGAGAGGTGGATGAGATGGAAAAGTGAAAGAGAAGTGGGAAAGAGAGAGACAAAGGGAGGGGAGAGTAGGTGTGAAAGGGGAAGGATAGATGAGAGGGAACAGTGAGAGGAGAGGTGAGAGAGAGTGGGAGGGGAGAGTGAATAAGTGGTAACAAAAAGAAGAGGTTTAATGTAATAATAAAGTGGTGAGAGGCAAGAGGAACCATAAAAGACGCAGGATTATTAATGGAATGAAGAAAAGAGAGACAGAGAAGGACAAAGAGAGAGAGAAAGACAGAGAGAGAATATTTTATGTTGTTTTCATATTCTTGACTGAGGGCATTGTAATCGAGCTGTGTGTGTGTGTGTGTGTGTGTGTGTGTGTGTGTGTGTGATATCTAAATATTTACGTCCAGAAGAAACAACAAATCAAAGAAAACAGACAATCTGCAGCCAAAATGTAATAGTAAACTGATATAAACAGATCAGTAACCCCCTTAATTAACATGGAAAACCTCTCCGACACAAGGAAGAGAGTCCGTCACTATCACCACCATCACCATTATCACTAGCGTCACCATCATCAGCGTCACCATCATCAGCGTCACCATCACCAGCGTCACCATCGTCACAATCACCAGCGTCACCATCAGCGTCACCAGCGTCACCATCATCAGCGTCACCAGCGTCACCATCACCAACGTCACCATCGCAACATCACCATCAGCGAAGTCACCGTGCGGCATAAACATCACCACTATACCCATGCATACCAGCGTCACCATCAGCAGCAGCACCATCACCAGCGTCACCATCAGCAGCCAGCACCATCACCAGCGTCACCATCACCAAACACCATTACCATCATCAGTGTCACCATCACCAGCGTCACCATTACTACACGTACTAGCGCCACACATCACCAGCGCCATCACCATCACCAGCGCCACCATCATCAGCGTCACCAGCGTCACCATCGTCACTTATATGGCGTACCATCAGCGTCACCAGCGTCACCATCATCAGCGTCACCAGCGTGCTGCATCACCAGCGTGCCAATACCAGCATCACCATCAGCAGCGTCACCATCACCAGCGCCAGCATCATACTATCACTGCAAAATCACCATCACCAGCGTCACCATCGGCAGCAGCACCGTCACCAGCGTCTGCGTCAGCAGCAGCATATACCAGCGTCACCATCACCAGCGCCACCATTACCATCATCAGTGTCACCATCACCAGCGTCACCATTGCTTCACCATCACCAGCGCCACCACCATCGCAACCGTCCGCCATCACCAGCGCCACCACCATCACCAGCGTCACCATTACGCCACCATCACCAAACACCACCATCACCAGCGCCACCACCATCACCAACGCCACGCCACCATCACCAGCGTCACCATCACTACCATCACCAGCGCCACCACCATCACCAGCGCCATCACCATCACATCACCATCAGCGCCACCACCATCTGGCACCGCACCATCACCAACGCCACCTGTCACCGTCACCATCACTACCATCACCAGCGCCACCACCATCACCAGCGCCATCACCATCACATCACCATCAGCGCCACCATCCTCAGTGCCACCGTCACCAGCGCTACCATCATCAGTGTCACCATCACCAGCGTCACCATCAGCGCCACCATCCTTAGTGCCACCGTCACCAGCGCTACCATCATCAGTGTCACCATCACCAGCGTCACCATCACCAGCGTCACCATCACCATCACCAGCGTCACCATCTTGAGTACAATATGCCCAAACCCTCAAAAAATAAGTGACTACTGACACTCAAGCTTCAACCTTACTTACACCTCTTGTCTCAACTCCAAACTTGAGGTCTCGCGAAAATGATCTGTCGACCGTAATAAATGGAGCTATTGGTGAAGAAGACAATTTTCTTCCTAGCTCGAGGGGCTCTTCTGACTCTTGACCTGACTGTCTTCAGGGCATATGATCGAGGATACCTTGAAGCCCTGACGTGGCATAAATCTCCTGGGGTCTTACTGGAGATAATTTTATTCTTAACATTTTTCATACACTTTCATGTTGGGAAATATTGGCCTTTATTCCGTCGTGTACTAGGCGTTAAGACACGTGTTTGGGAGCGACCTGAGCTCGATTTAAGTATTTTCTAAGTGTATCTCTCCTCATTTTACTTATTTTGTAAGTGTATCTCTTTTCACATTAAGTATTTTCTTAGTAAAAACTCCTCATGTATGTATCTTGTAAGTTATCACTTTTTACTCTAACGTTTTGTAAGTAGTGATTGTGTCTTCAGCCACGTATTGTGTTTGTATCAGCTTCAATTCTATCGTCAACTAATTCAATTTGGTCTTTCAATTAATTATTTACGCCACACTTTTCGATCTGTTTCATATATGTACACACGATTTTTTTTATTAATTCACAACATAGTTACTGAACGAAAAACGTGACAACCAGATTATTACATTATCATCAAAATATAGTATTCAAGAAAAAATTTTGAGCGCTACCTGATGAATATTTTATAGAATTTCATGTTTTATGAATAAGTGTCAAATCAAGTTTTCATTTCTGTGGGAGTTTTTATCTCGTGTGTGTGTGTGTGTGTGTGTGTGTGTGTGTGTGTGTGTGTGTGTGTGTGTGTGTGTGTGTGTAATGAAGCCTGCATTTGTTCCAATATTTTAAATATATGAGACAGACAGACAGACAGACGCACTAACGAACTAAAAGAATGACAGAAAGATATACATAGATAAACAATGAAATATAGAAGAAGAGAAAGAGCGAGCGAGAGAAGTGAGGGGGAGCGATAAGTAGAAAAAGAGGTAGATAGTCACACATACAGATAAAGGAAAACAGCGACACTGAAGAAAAAGCAGAGAGGAGACAGACAGACACATCCTCCATGACTACTCCCCCTTTATAACAAGACAGAGTCTCTCCCTGGTCAGCTCGCCTTGGCTTTGTCATGGTAAGTGTGTGATGTGGGCAAGTGTTCGTGTGTGTGTTTGTGAGATAGACAGACAAACAGACAGACAGGCAGACACACAGGTAAGTAGATAAGCCGCTGTGAAATTCTCCCGTCAAGATAAACAGAGGCACTTCCTGTCAATACAGAGGAACAGAGCCAAATCAGACAGAAACCCCCGTCAAGGGAGAAGGACAGGCGTCCCTGTCAAGGCAGCGAGACGGAGGCGCCTCCCATCAACGCACCAAGACAGAGGCGCCCCCGTCAAGGCAGCAAGACAGAGGTGTCCCCTGTCAAGGCAGCAAAATAGAGGCGCTTCCCGTCAAGTCAGTGAGACAAGGGTGACCCCGTCAAAACAGCAAGACAGAGGCGCCCCATCAAGGCAGCAAGACAGTGGCGTCCCCGTCAAGGCAGCTAGACAGAGGCGCCCCCCGTGAAGACAAAGGCGTCCCTAGTCAAGGCAGCAAGACTCAGGCGCTCCCGTCATGACAGGAAGATAGATGCGCTTCCGTCAAGACAGCAAGACAGAGACAACCCCGCCAAGGCAGCAAGAGCGAGGCGTCCCCCGTCAAGGCAGCAAAACAGAGACGCCCCCGTCAAGGCAGCAAAACAGCTGTTTCCCGTCAAGGCAACAAGACAGAGTGTGTCGCCCCTCAAGGCAGCATGACAGGCGGTCCCCCAAAGGCAGCAAGAAAGAGCGCCCCGGCAGCAGCAAGACAGAGGCGCTCCCGTCAAGGCAGCAGCAAAGAGGCGCTCCCGCCAAGGCAGCAAGACAGAGGCGCTCCCTGTCAAGGCAGCAAGACAGAGGCGCCCGTCAAGGCAGCAAGACAGAGGCGCCCCGTCAAGGCAGCAAGACAGGCGGCTGCCAAGGCAAGACAGAGGCGCCCCGCTCCACAGGGTGCTCCCGCCAAGGCAGCAAGACAGAGGCGCCCCGTCAAGGCAGCAAGACAGAGGCGCTCCCGTCAAGGCAGCAAGACAGAGGCGCTCCCGTCAAGGCAGCAAGACAGAGGCGCCCCGTCAAGGCAGCAGGACCCCTGAGACCCACAACCCTTCCCCTGAGGCAGCTCGCTCTGTCTTTGTCATGGTAAGTGTGGTGGGAGGCGAGTGGCCGCCGACCAACACTGGGGCAGGGGAGAGAGAGGAGGAGGGTGAAGTGAAGTGGGGAGGGGAGCTTGGTTGTCGTCCTCTCATTCCCATTTCAATCAAAGTCCATTACCGCTGTCCGCCATAAGCCTCTGCCCCCCTTTTACCAATCTCCCCACTGCCCTGGCTAATTCATGCACCCCCCCGCCAAGCACCCATCTCTTGTGCTTGGGAATAGTTTTAAATCGGGGTTATCTTCACTGTGTTAATCTCAGTGCTTAGAGAGGTTAGCTCATGCACGCGTCTTTGTGCTCGGGATTGCCTTACATCACTCTTGTCCTGACCCGCTAACTGCTGTCACGTGTTGGCGCTTTCTCTGCAGTTATCAGCGGTAATTCGTTTTTACGCGAATGAAAAGAGAGAGATAGAAAGTGAGAGAATTGGGCAGAGAGCGAGAGAGAGAGAAGGAGAAAAAGGTAGAGATACAGAAAAGACAGAGAAAATGAGAGAAGAGAAAGAGAGAGGAGAAACGTAGAGAGAAAGAGAAAAAAGAGTGTGTTAGGAGAGACGGAGAGAAATAGAAGGAGAGAGAGAGAGAGGAGAAACATAGAACGAGAAGAAAGAGAGATGAGAGGAATAGAGAAAGAGAAGATAGAGAGAGAGAGAAAGGACAGACATAGAGAGATAGAGAAGAGAAGAGAAAGCGAGAGAGACAGAGGTGTATATATTAACCATCATAATTCTTCATGAAAATTCAGCCAGCAGATAACTCGGCCAAAATCCTCAAGTAAAAAAAAACATAAAAAATATATAAAAATTTGTTCATTTCTTCACTACTGTTACGACACTTGGAAATTGAATTTCATAAATAATTAAGTACATTTTGTTATTTGTATTTTGTTGTTTTTGGGGAATCATGTAATTTTACTAGAGTATCTTATGTCTACGATGTTGAGTTTTTCCTACTGTTATTTATGTACTGAAAACATGTCTACATCTACCTATGTGATAAATCAGCCGTACACAATGTTTTCAGGTAGATGATGCCATCTAGTGGTTAAGGACAAAAGTGTGACGGAGACTGCCAAGCGTCGCCACACTGGGTCATCTTATTGACCATACTGGATGAGTCGAAGCCTTAGTTAATGCTTCGACTCATTCATTCGAGGTTTGGTGTTGTGTTAACCAGTAACCACCCGGTAAAAGTCAGTCAGATTGTGGACAATACGAGTCATTGTTATTTATATTGTGTGAACTGTTTTCACTTAATGTATATTAAAGTGCTACTGTTCCACTAGAATAAGCACTGTATATTGTAACTGATTTCATTGTGGGTTTAATGGTATTACGTATGTTGTGTCGACGGGTAAATTTTCATACTGATCAAATCTGCTATTTAGTTATTGTGTCATTATTGTTTCTCGGATGCATTATAAATAAGTTTAACTTAATTATTTTAAGTTATTATATTCGCTGGTTTTACTTCGCCCTTATTTAAGATTGACCATTCTGTGAAAACGTTCCATGGTAAATAGTTATTTTTTAACGCAGAGAACATAAATCTTGCTGCAGTTCACCCACTACGAGAAGGCTTCACAAAGTGCTTCTGTGGTGAGAAGTTCTGCGTAAGTCAAGTACCGCGTATATAGAGTACCGCACAAATAAAGTACTGTACCACTCGGAGGTTTAGAGCTGGCAGAGGTTGCAAAGTAGGAAGAAAAATCGACAAAGTTTATCTCGTTAACTCAGCTACTGAAGGACGAGAACCTAATGGTCATAACAACAATAAACTACCCAGAGTGTGAGTTAAGACTTGATGGAAAACAAAAAGAGAATCCAGTTTATTAAACCTTTCAGTGAGAGGTATTTTGTGTGTGTGTGTGTGTGTGTGTGTGTGTGTTCGTAAAATATCATCTTAAAGTGATACCCTTGTAAGGAAGAAAGTAGTAGGCAGCTACCAAACAGGGAGGTACTACCGCCTGGGAAGATATTGGAAGCATAATGTGTTGTCTATGGTAGACCCTGCTGCCATATGGCATCACGAAAATTGTGACCAAGTCCCAGGTTGCTGATATGACTTTCTGCCTCATTTACACACAATTGCAGGGTTTCAATTGTTTCTCTTACTTTGACATCACAACATACATAATGTATATCGTTTCTCACTCTTTATTATTATTTTTTTTCGTTTTTGTATTTATATATGGTTATTTATTATTATTATTATTATTATTATTATTATTATTATTATTATTATTATTATTATTATTATTATTATTATTATTATTATTATTATTATTATTATTATTATTATTATTATAAATTATAAATTATTATTATTGTTAATATTATTATTATATTTCCGTCCCCAGGCCTCGATGTGGGTGAGTGACCTGTGCCTGGTGGGCTAATCCCCGTAAACACACACACACACACAAAGCACCAATTCTTGTTTGTATATAAGACAACAACATCACCTCCCTTATTTAGCACTACACTACACCACGACGATAAACACATCACCTTAACACAAGCTCAAGGACCTCTTGCCCCTGTCGTCACTCTGGCTCTGCCAACTAATCTCTGTTTTCCCTGGCGCCTTTGAACACGCGTCTCATCTAATGCAGCCGAATTTGTTGTCTCTCTTTGAAGACGCCGGTGTAGAAAAATGATCAGGATGTTTTTGGCTTGTTTTTATTTTCGTAGTTGTTGTTGTTGTCTTGGTTCTTGTTATTGTGAACGCGAGATAAAGTTGAGGGAGAAGAGGAGGTGATGGTGACGGTCTTGTGATGGGTGGTGAGGAGGAGGAGGAAATGGTGAGGAGGAGGGGAGAGGTGGGGACAGAAGGTCTTGTGATGGGTGGTGAGGAGGAGGGATGGGGAGGGGGAGGAGAGGATGGTGAAGGTCTGTGATGGGTGGGAGGAGGAGGAGGAAATGGTGGGGAGGAGAGGAGGATGGTGAAGGTCTTGTGATGGGTGGTGGAGGAGGAGGAGGATGGTGAAGGTCTGTGATGGGTGGTGAGGAGGAGAGGATGTGAAGGTCTTGTGATGGGTGGTGAGGAGGAGGTGATGGTGAAGGCTCAGATGGGTGGTGAGGAGGAGGTGATGGTGAAGGTCTTGTGATGGTGGTGAGAGGAGGTGATGGTGAAGGTCTTGTGATGGGTGGTGAGGAGGAGGTGATGGTAAGGTCTTGTGATGGGTGGTGAGGAGGAGGAGAGGTGATGGTGAAGGTCTGTGATGGGTGGTGAGGAGGAGAGGTGATGGTGAAGGTCTTGTGGATGGGTGGTGAGGGAGGAGGAGGTGATGGTGAAGGTCTTGTGATGGGTGGTGAGGAGGAGGTGATGGTGAAGTCCAGGATGGGTGGTGAGAGGAGGATGGTGAAGGTCTTGTGATGGTGGTGGGGAGGAGGAGGTGATGGTGAAGGTTTGTGATGGGTGGTGAGGAGAGGTGATGGTGAAGGTCTTGTGATGGGTGGTGAGGAGGAGGTGATGGTGAAGGTCTTAGATGGTGGTGAGGAGGAGAGAGGTGATGTGAAGGTCTTGGATGGGTGGTGAGGAGGAGGTGATGGGAAGGTCTGTGATGGGTGGTGAGGGAGGAGGAGAAGGTTGGTGAAGGTTAGGATGGGTGGTGAGGAGGAGGTGATGGTGAAGGTCTTGTGATGGGTGGTGAGGAGGAGGTGGTGATGGTGAAGGTCTTGTGATGGTGGTGGGGAGGAGGAGGAGATGGTGATGGTGAAGGTCTGTGATGGGTGGTGAGGAGGAGGAGAAGGTGATGGTGAAGGTCTTGTGATGGGTGGTGAGGAGGAGGTGATGGTGAAGGTCTTGTGAGTGGGTGGTGAGGAGGAGGAGGTGATGGTGAAGGCCTAGGATGGGTGGAGGAGGAGGTGAGGTGATGGTGAAGGTTCCAGATGGGTGGTGAGGAGGGAAGGTGATGGTGAAGGTCTTGTGATGGGTTGAGGAGGAGGTGATGGTGAAGGTCTTGTGATGGGTGTAGGAGGAGGTGATGGTGAAGTCGATGGTGAGAGAGGTGATGGTGAAGGTCTTGTGATGGTTGAGGAGGAGGTGATGGTGAAGGTCTTGTGATGGGGAGGAGGAGGTGAGGAAGGTGATGGGAAGGGTGGTGGTGAGGAGGAGGAGAAGGTGATGGTGAAGGTCTGTGATGGGTGGTGAGGAGAAGGTGATGGTGAAGGTCTTGTGATGGGTGGTGAGGGAGGAGGTGATGGTGAAGGTCTTGTGATGGGTGGTGAGGAGAAGGTAATGGTGAAGGTCTTGTGATGGGTGGTGAGGAGGAGGTGATGGTGAAGGTCTTGTGATGGTGGTGAGGAGGAGGTGATGGTGAAGGTCTTGTGGATGGTGGTGAGGAGAAGGATGGAAGGTCAGGATGGGTGGTGAGGGAGGAGGAGAAGGTGATGGTGAAGGTCTTGTGATGGGTGGTGAGGAGGAGGTGATGGTGAAGATCTTGTGATGGTGGTGGAGGAGGGAGGTGATGGTGAAGGTCTTGAGGATGGTGGTGAGGAGAAGGTGATGAAGGTCTTTGATGGTAGAGGAGAAGGTATGGTGAAGGTCTTGTGATGGGTGGTGAGGGAGAAGGTGATGGGAAGGTCTTGTGATGGGTAGAGGAGAAGGTGATGGTGAAGGTCTTGTGATGGGTGGGAGGAGAAGGTGATGTGGAAGGTCTTGTGATGGGTGGTGAGGAGAAGGTGATGGTGAAGGTCTTGTGATGGGTGGTGAGGAGGAGATGATGGTGGGAAGGTCTGTATGTGAGGAGGAGAGAAGGTGATGGTGAAGGTCTCAGGATGTGGGTGGTGAGGAGGAGGAGAAGGTGATGGTGAAGGTCTTGTGATGGGTGGTGAGGAGAAGGTGATGGTGAAGGTCTTGTGATGGGTGGTGAGGAGGGGGTAATGGTGAAGGTCTTGTGATGGGTGGTGAGGAGAAGGTGATGGTGAAGGTCTTTGAT